AACTAGATAAGTAACTGATTTATTATTTCCATACATGCACGGTGCATTCCCCTTACTCAGAGTGCACAGCAAAATTATTCATGTTAAGATAGAGCAATCACAATGACTACGAAAGCACATTTTACCATTCCAAACATAAGCATAGCTGTGGTGGTGTACTATCATAGTACATGATAATAGAAATGAATTATGTCAGTAAAATCTGAGGTTTAAGCTTTACCATGATAAATATGTTTCATTGAAGTGAAGTGTTTTGACAGAGTCACTTTCATATGCAGACTGCTGAAATAAGGAGACCAGCCGTGCCCATGCAGATGCCGAGATTTGGGTCTACCTTATTAATGATTTATCGTGTCATGGAGAGTTTTGAAAGCACTTTCTATAATGTGCAAACGCAAGGAATACTATATGTGCATTCCAAATTAATCACAGAAGCTGTAGCTACCTTTGAAATTTCAATACCGATATCTTTTTTTTTTTTGAAACATGAAATTCTACATTCTAAACTGTATGATTCATTAAAATTCATACAAAATGTTATTTCATATCAACTGGATACTAAGTAGTGTATGTAGCTGAATTAATAGACATATATACATAGATGAGGGAAAGAAGGAGGTGGAATGGAACACAAATGTTTTGCAAACCTATTGTGTACCATGTGCTTTCACCTGAAGTCTCACATTTAGTGTGAGGTTGGATTAAATTTCTAATCCAATTCTGCAGGATTCCAAGATTGCTCTGCCTACAGGGCACGTATAATAACATTGGCTAATATTTATTCAGTGCTTGCCGTGTTCCAAGTAAGATGCTAAACACTTTACATGCATTATCACATTCAGTCTTCATAAAATCCATTTGAAGTATTGTTATGACTCCTGTTTCACAGATGAGAACACTGATGCACAGTGTAGTTAAATAAATTATCCCAAGAGACGGGGGGAGTCTGGATTTGAATCCAGGTTGTCAAATGTTTCCAAAGCCTTCACTATTTACTACTGCTATTAACTGTGACCTCACTACTAACCACTATTACAACTAAGTAAGAGGTTAGGGTTCAGCTCCTATGCAGTTACTACCTGGGTGGCCTTAGGCAAGTACCTTAAACCCTCTAAGCTTCAGTTTCCTCTTCTACAAAATGAAGGTAATAATAGTACTTAAATGAGAGAATTGTTGTAAGCAGTAATACTTATAAAACGCTTAAAAGAGGTTGGCAGATAGTAAGCACTATTGCTTTGTTTAATAACTGTAATAGTTAAGGAGTGGTACTCTCCAATGATTGATAAAAATTTTATTGACTCTTACACACAGATTTTCTATAATTTTCAGATACATTTTATTCTTAAAACTAGATTGGAAATGAAACATAGAAATAAAACTTTGAACTTTTGCTAAAGTAAACAGAGAAACAAAAAACAGACTGTAAATAAAGTTACTACTTATCCCTCCTGGGAGATATGCGATAACGGCAAAAGCATAACCACTAATTATCTAAAGCACTGACCACTTTTAAGTATTCTTTCTAGGTGTGAAAAGAGCCAAAATCTTCCTTATTTCCTTCCGTCCTTCTTCCTTTCTTCATTTATTCATTCTTCACTCATTCAGTGAACATCCTTACATGGATACTATGCTTGCCCTGGGGACACAAATGAATAAATCCCTACTCTGGAGGAGCATACAATCTAGAGATGACTATACTCCCTGATTCAGCACATAAAAGAGTGTGAGAAAGTTGTGGGTTTCCTTGCCAGATCTGTTGAACAAATATTTATTGAGTATCTATTAAATGCCAGGCACTGTGCTGGGCACTGGGGCCGTCCAGGTAAATAAGACAAGATCCTAGCAGTTAAGAAGCACCCAGTAAGGAAGTCATCCTAGACAGTTATTTTCCCTTCCCTGTGATAAGTTACATATCTAATCCTCGGCTCAAAATAACCTGTCAGCATATTCTTCTGCAACCTAAAGGTTTTTTTATTCCTGAATTTAAGAGCTCAATCTCAGGTAAACTGTACTCTCTGGGGTGGCGCTCTGTAAAGCTGGCCATCGCAGAATTTCAGCAAAGAATTCAAGAATCTGGGGAACTGAACTTTTTTTTTCTTCTCTGCTACTTGTCCGCTACTGCAGACAGAAGACAGTTCATAAGCTTTCTGCCTCCAGGTGGGTGGCGATAGGATTCCTCAAACCACTGGCCACCCGCTTGCATCTTCATTCAGTGCACAGAGCCCTTTGGCTGCAGCGGGGGCTTGCTCCCTTGATGGAGAAAATACGGAATGACTGGACACCAGTAAAACAGGCACAGCTTTCTGGGTCAGAAGTTGGCTGGGAAAGGGCCCGGACTGCCAAGTAACTTGCAGTGATGTCAGAGCCCAGCACAACCTGAAAACACCAGCCAGCCAGCCAACAAAAGCCTTATAACAACAACAGAAAAATCACAAAGCTGCGTTGCCAAAGCTGTTCTTTCCGCCCCCTACCCCTTACTTCGAATGGGAGGAACAGCGGGAAGAGAGTTATATTTTCAAAGACTCCCCTTCCTCCCTCCTTCTTCCTTTTGGTAACAAAGTGTTGACTAGCGAGGAAACAGTTCTCTGGGTGAGTCCTGCAGCAGTTCCTTGGGGTGTCTTTTTTGAGTTCCTTTTCAAGGCTGTCGGTGGAAGTTTTAGCAATAACTCGGTACAGGGTATTTTTCCTAAATGTAAACACGTAACTGTGCTGAGGAGAAAGCAGGAACCATTGAGGAAAGGAAAGTCCTTTCTCTGCCCCCTTCTCCTCTCATTCACGGTAATTAACCATACTCAAATGAAAATTAAAAGTTTGGCGGAAATGCTCCCTTCTTTCTTTTTCTTTAAACGAGGGCATCACGGTTCATTCCAGCCATTTAGATCCCTCAGTGATTCATAATTCAACTGGAAATTTTAATAAAACACAGCCTGTTCTTGGATATGAAGTTTGGATTAAAATCCTCTTGTTTTTAAGTATGCGACTTTTTTCCTTTCCTTTGTGACAGTCAATTTGAAATGATGTCACTTCAAGGACATTTTCATTTCTCCCAGAACATATTACACGACACACTTGCCTGTAAAACCGGCTCATTAGCCTGCAAAATTATACTGTACTGAATGGCTTTCATTCGAAGTAGAAATAGGATTTTTAGTAGGCAATTTCTGTATTTTATAAAGATAAAACAGTGTTTGATTGCTTCTTCCTAGCTGTTTTGCTTAGTGGTTGTAAAGAGAAATTGGGGCGGGGGACGACAAATGTAATATGGGGGCGGGCTTGTAAGGATGTGCTTAAAAAATAAATCTTAGATGAGGAAACTAAGGCATAACTTTACGGAGCAACTGTGCCTGCAGCTCCTCTGGGCTGCAACGCCTTGTCCTCTAAATGTCTGGAGGAAAGCTCAAAAAAAAGTGAGGGAGCGAAAAAAAGAGGGAAGGTGGTAGGAAAGCGAAAAGGCTGCTTCTCAGGCTGCAGCAGCCACCGCGAGCTGGATGACTGAGGCGCTGCGAGTTGCTGGAAGGAGCAGCTCTTCAGAGGTGGCGAGAGGGAGGGCGCGCAGCAGAGCGCCGGGGAGGAGGGACGCGGAGGCCACCGAGGGGTCAGCCGGGCCGCGGCGCCGCGCTGGGGGCCTCCAGGCGGCGCTGGCCGAGGCGCTCGGGAGAGGGCGAGCGCGCCGGGCCGCCCGCGCCTCTTGCCGTCCGCGCCCGGGGGTGGGCCCCAAGCCGCGAGCTGCCGAGTGCCGGGAGGGAACGAGGCTCCGGCTCGCCTGATGGATTGACTTGAAGATGGATCGAATTACACCATTTGCCTTGCCTCGATTTGTTTGGCTCCCGCTCCGTCCCGCTGCTGCTGTCGTTGTCGCTGCCGCTGCTGCAAGGACTGGTGGTGGCGAGTTTCAGGATTATATCGAAGCCAAAACCTAGAGACACAGGGATATATCTCTTTTTTTCTAATTTTTTCTTTACTTTTTATTTTCTTTTCTCCCTGAGCGTGACAAGCTTTTTTTTTTTTTTTTAAACCAGCCTCCCCCCTCCCCCCATGAGGTAAGACAGCCCTATAAAAATTTGCTAATGCTCTAGGCGCCTGGTGGGGATCGGACCCTGATCCTTAGAGCCTGAATTGCTTCTGGTGTATGTGTACGTGTGCGTATGCGTGTGTGTTGGCACTGGAGAGTTGATTTCTTTTCCAAGCTGTTCTCTCCGCCTGCCGTACCAGGGACGCGCAAAGGGCTGGAGAGGTTTGGCGGTCGCGTCAAAACTCGCATTGCTGGAGGCTTGCGGGGAGTGGGCCCCCCAACACTGTGCACCCCCCCTCGGGGGAAAAAAAAGCGGAAGGAGGGAGCCAGCAAAAGTTTCTCGCCAGGCAGCGCCAGCTCCGCGCTCCCCCGCACCTTATCAGGGGGAACCCGGCTGCTTCGGTGCCGGGCACCACGTCCCCAGCCCGCGCGACCGCCGAGCCAAGGCTGAAGGAGCCGGCTGCTGGCTCCGCCGCCCCCTTCCGCCCGCCCGCCCGGGAGCCGACTCTGGGACCGCCGGGCCAGGCTAGCCGTGGATGGGCGAGCACCCGCCCGCGCCAGGAGAAGGGGCGCAGCTCAGCCGCCGACGGACGAGCGGCTCACGGCGGACGTCGGCTACCTGTCAGTGCGCCCCCGGGTCGGACGGCCCACCGGTAGCGCCTGTTGGCTAGGGGCGGGGGCTCAGGGGACTCGGCCCTCCCCCAGCCCTCCAGGCTCCAGCACCGGCTTCTGCCCGGAGGGCGGCCACTTCCCAACCCTCCCTCTCCCCCTGCTGGCCGAGCGCGCCGCGGGCGGACTCCGGGGCCCAGAGCTGCCCGCCTCCCACCCGGCGCCCCGTTTCTCCTCCCGGCCGCTCTCCCCCGCAACTTTCCGTGCTTTGTTCTCCGGCTGGAAATGATTTACGGAAGCGTCTTGGACAGGGTCTCCGCCAGGCGGCAAGAGCCCAGCGCTGAGATGTGTTACGTTCTCATCTACCCATCAATTATGGATGGAAACAAATAAGGAAGAGTCAATTTTGCATGAGCCCCTTCTCCGGCGGCGAGAGGCATTCTGCAGCCGGGAGGGAGCCGCCGCTCGCGTCGGCAGCCGCTGGCAGGGGGATGGTGAGGCGGAAGGTAGGGAAACTTTTATCTCCCGTCTTGACAGCAATGATGTTTGTTCCTGGTCTGCGGAGACTGATACCGCGGCCGCCTTGGGTAATTTGGAAGGGCTTAAAGCTTCCTCTGTAGTGTATAACTCTTGGATTGAAACTAAAGGTCATAAAGGACTTGAAGGTGCGGATGAGAACTGGGTTTGAAAATTTTTTGTGAAATCAGCTCTCGGGACCACTGCTGTCAGGTGATTCTCTAAATCCCGATCTTGTAAAGAGCTAAATGTCATGGAGCTAGAGAGGAGCGAAGTAGCGGTGTTATAGGAACCCAGAGTAGAGTACTCCTCATTCAGAGGTGACCAGTCAGTAACCCAGGTCCCGGCATCCCCACTCCTCACTATGTTCAGCCGGGAGATTCACACGGAAGGAACAGTAGATCATTATTATAGATATACAGACTTTGCAAACAATAACCGGACCTTATGTCCATCACTATGGGCCACGGCTTTCCCTTAAAAATAACGGTAGTGTTTCCAGTTACTTGGGAGAAGAAATGTGTAGGGCAATTTTCCCAAGAATTCTGGCTCCTAAGAATTTAAGTCTGCAGTAAAATGTTTAGTTGCTTTTTAAGGATTGTCCTTCTCTGTACTTGATATTTGGGGCAGTAAAGTGGATGCTTTTATTTAAAAGCTGAAGTCCTGGGGAAAGGTTTAACATTTTAAAATCTGGTTTGGTCTCCGTTCCTCAGAATTGGAGAAATAATTGTTTGGAGAAATTTGTCAAGGTTTCTTCCTTGTAGAATTGAGAAATCTTATCCCAGACAGCTCAAGGTGAGGATTTTACTATTCTTTTGGTGGTTTAACAATAGGTTTTGATGCTGGTTTATCCATGTTGTTAAAAAAAAATCCCCTCACTCTCTTTGATATCTAACTCAGGAAATTAAGTTGTGTGTCGTCACATTTAATGTAGTGAGTGACAGGCATATTCTGTCAGGCTGGCAAATGTTACACAAACATTTACGCTGGCTTAGATGAATAGAAATTGCCTAAGATTTGGGCCTATATTACCATGAACTTAAACATCTTGAGGTAAATAAACATAGCTGAGTTTTGTTTTTAAAGTTAATGTCCATGCTTTGATTTAGGTCCCTAGACTGTGCTCTCAGAAAGACAAATAAATAACCCTGAGATTTCCAAATGGTGTTGTTTAGCAAACCATTTTCTTCCAGTGGTACATTTGGTGAAATTAACAGCCAGTTACTGTTTCTTATTGGATTCTATTTGTTACCTGTCCTTGTTTCTGTTAGGGATGCTACATAGATAACCTTTTTTGAGGAACATTTCTGTGATGCAGGACAGTGTGCCTGGAATATCATGGCTTCTCCTTCACCAAACAGCTAGTTAACCTGAATCTGATTTAGATTTGTGGGCATTCTGCCCTCTTTCTCTTTATTTATTTATTTATGTATTTATTTATTTAGGTGCCCTCTAATAGCACCATCTGGTCTTGTCTCCCCTTGTTTGGATGGATTTGAAAGATGGTTGTGACGCAAACCTATTAGTGCTTAGAGTCAGGGTAACTTCCTTAGAAATCCAGTGGACTTAAGTTCACTGGCTGCTTGCTAAACAGGAAGGATCTATCCAGTAACTGTGCTCTGCGTAAGTAGGCCCCTGAATCCTGTGTGGTGGTTTCTATTGCATGAAAGGCACACAGACAAAGTAAGCAGGAATTGGAGCTTTGTTTCACAAAAATGCCCATAATTGTTAAGGACTTATTGAAACTGGAGAAGTTCTTCACTTCTTGCTGCTCCATCAAAATAAGCCTTGGTAATTAGCTTAGTCATTGTTCTTGCATTTGAGTTTCACTAAGAGACAAAGAGTGAAAAATGCATCTGAAATAGGGTCATTTTTCACCCTTCTGATGCATTTTATGCGGAGTTAAGAGCCTGGCTGAATGTCTAACCATTATTGGTGTAACTGTAGGAGGTGGACTCCTTTCTTAGCACCTTACAAGATAAAATATTACCTTTTATTTCAGTTAATAGACTTTAAGCCTGCCCATTCTAGATTCATTTCTAGAGGAAGCAAGAAGTGCTTGAGGTATGCCAGCCAGTCAGTATTTATTGAGTCCCTGTCGTTTGCAAGGAGCTATGCTAGCCAATGTTCCAACATCAGGTGAGGCAGACACGTTTCTCTATGTTCAACTTAAGTAAGAAAGAAGAATCCGAAGAAACAGAGAGTGGCAAAACTGGATCATTTGGCAAGAAATGTAAATCTGCATCTTTTTTTGAAGGATGTTATTTCATCCTAAAGATTTTAAGGCAAGATTATCCATACCGCATATTTATAGGGGGCAAATCTTCCTGCCTTGAACACTAACAATGCAATGTACTATTAGTGTAATTCACATGTTGAAACTGTCATTGGAGCAGGGGATCTCGCTTTCAATGGCTCATGTGAATGGAGACTTAGAGTTAAAATCTACCAAAGCCAGTGTCTTAGGTTGCAGCTTATTTTGTGAACAGCTGCCAACTTCCAGTTGTGGGGGGAAAATGTGTTTTGATCTATTCCCATGACATGTAGAGAGAATGAAAATCATGTAACTATTTTAAGCATATCATAACCCTTTTCAGTGAAGGTGGCTATTGTTGGGCTAACTTTTCCTCCTCAGACCCTGACAAGTGTCAGTGCAGCTGATAAGTGAAGCTGCTTCCACTCTTCCCAGTAGGATAACTAGGAAACATTCTTACTTTGAAAAGCAGCCATTTATGTAACCAAGAGTGATCAAGTCAGTGGTCCACTAGATACCGCACAAGGTATACTTTTCTCAAACTTTTCTTTTCTATTAAGCTTTTGTTAACTCACCCAGATTAGCATTTTAACAACCCTGAAGTGAACTTCTGCCGTTCTCTCTACTTGGACACAGTATGTAGATCATCCATCATTCTGTCCTTGGCTACAACAGGCTGCTGGCTCCATCACCGTTTAGAGCTACACAGAATCCATCCGACTGTGAACGACACAGCTGGCTACAGCAATTTTTTCTTCCACACCACTGGCAACATTGTCTGGCTGTGGTAGCTAAAGTTAACATCCAGAACAGGACGTTTCCATTGTTTGCCAACCTGTGCTGGGCCCCTCACCCACTTCTGGGGGCACACCTGCAGAAAGGCCCTGCTGGCTTGCAGTGGCATGTTCCACTTAAGAGCGGACTTGCCTCAACCTTATGTGACCCACAGGAAAGCCTCTTTAGACTTGGTACGATTAAACCACCAGAATTACAGAATTAGAAGGAGTCATTCACACCACTCATCCTAGACCTTCAGAACTCAGTCTATTGAAAGGGGGAAGAAAAGAATGAAGTAGCTTTTAGCCTGTGATCCCAAATGACTGAAAACAGAAAAAGACCCTGTCTAGTTCTTTGGAGAGCTGAAGGTATCATTGCTCCATCTCTTTTCACAAAGAGCCTGTGATGTCCCTAAATCTGGCACCCATGAGTAACGGAACCCAATGCTTTCTATCACATTTTTTGGTTTGTTTTCTTCTTTTTACTCAATAAGATATCTGTTACAGTAGTCACTGCTTGTTAAAGCAAGAATGGCGTGAATTAGGTGGACATGTTTATTAGGTTATGTTGCCAAGCTTTAAAGAAAAAAAAAAAGACTTTTATAATTAGGAGTACTGCTTTTGGAGTTTGATGTGGGAAGGGGAGACTCTGCCTCATATTTTGGTGGGAGATAGTCTTCTCACCTCTTTTCCTAATGTTTGCTAATGAAATCAGCCACAAAACAGCTGAGATGATGTGCTGCTCCTACTGCTGATGATAATGGAAGAGGAAGAAGAGAAAGCAGTAGCCACAACAACTACACTTATCGTTAGTCTGCTTACTAATTTCTAGGCACACACTAAGACCTTTATCTTAATTATGTCTGTAACAAACAACTGGGGTGGGTGAGGCAGATTCTGTTATTATCACTGCTTTATCAAAAAAAGAACTCAAGCATCTGAGAAGTCAAGTCACTTTCCTGAGGTCTTAGAGCAGGGAACTGGTGGAGTCAGGATTTGAACTCAGGTCTCCCTGACATCTCAGACCACCATGTCATCACTGCACTGAATTGTTTCCAGGAACACAGATCACCCTGCAATCTTCTGACTCCCTGATATTTCTGACGTTGTTTTTTCAATAAAAGAGTCGTACTTTGAGGGAAATCTTTGTATTGAATGAAATGATATGTACAGAATCGGTATGCTCTTAAGTTTTAACATTTCTCTAAACTAAATCATTGGCGTACTCTTCTTTCATTTTTATTCCTGTTGGCTGAATAATTAATGACACTCTCTTCTTTTCAAGTGTCCTAGAACAGCATCTTCTCCCACCATTTTTCTCCATGTTAGGCTTTCCTGTCCAAGACTGCATGGCATAGGACAAATGGCAGTATTCATCGCTCGCCACCAGAAAGGTGCTTCTGCATCAGGGTGCGATTGACATTCATTTCCCTGATCTTGGCAGGTGAAGATCTGTTATGTATCTCTGTCCCATTTCCCAGGAGTATTTATGGGCCCCATCAGCAGACACAGTGAGAGCTGCAGCTGTTCAAGCGTTAGTGGCACAAGGATGGAAATTGTCTTACTGAAGTTTGACTATGTATTATATTGTAATATACATTTTTCTTACTTACGGTTGAGAGAGAATCCTTTTACCTCTGTGAGTAATCAGATACGTTGTTGAGAAATTGTCACCCATGCATCCGCATTTTTTGTTGTTCTTTTTTACTCAGGATTCCTGTGGGAGGGAAAAAACCAAATACACACTACCACTACATATAATGCTGAAATTTAAGGTTTTCAACATACATTTTTGGAAAAGAAATATGGGTTTTAAAAAGTCCAATATGTTGGTACATGTATAATAAGGCCTCAGGAAGATCTGCAATTACTTAGCCTATTATTGGAGTCTGAATTTAAAAATAAAGTCAGGAGTTTCTACTCAGCTGAGGAACTGGCACATATGAACGAGAGCAGATGA